TTCTTCCACCAGGACAGCCCTGTTGGACCAGGCCCTCCCACTCTGCCCCCAGAGCCCTTCTCAAGCAGCTCCGCACCAGGGTGCTTCATTCCCCAAATCCTACTCCAATCTCTTTTTTTTTTTTTTTTTTTTTTGGTACCGGGTAATCAAACTCAGGACCTTGCTCTTGCCAGGCAGGCGCTGGTGCCGCTGAGCTATCTCTGGCCCCAACCACCCCAGTATAAACACTTCCTGCTGGTCAAGGAGCTCTAATCGAAGCCCACAGCCACAAAACAACACAAACCTTCCAATTCACCCCCAGTCAACTTTGTTGTGGCACTGGGAGCAAATGCATGCCGGGCAGCAATTCCACATTACTTGTTTAAGTAAACCCAATGCCACCTCCCACCCCTACTCTTCCTCCGAATATTCCAGTCCCACCCCCAGCCTGGCCTGCTGAGTTCAAGCCCTCTGCTTACTCTGAACCCATCCCAGAGCCAGAATTTTGAATTCCCAATCACCCCACCCCCAGCTTCGGCACCTTCTGGATCCATCTCAGGCCCTGGCCACACCCCAGGATCTCAGTTGGTCCCTAACGTCAGCCCCCTCCCACCCTGCATCCCCCCAACTCTGGCTCCTCCTCTCTGACCTGGGCCGGGCTCCTAGGGTGGTGGTCAGGGAGCTCGCAGATGCTGGCGCTCTGGTCCAGGGTGGGCCAGCCCTTGTACTGCGCCTTCGTCTCACTGTCCTGGGGTTTTGTGGTCAGGGGGAGTCGCCAGTGTCTGAGCTGCAGGAAGGCAACGCAGTGACCCATGGTGAGGCAGGGGACTCAGGTGCAGTCCACAGCCCCACCTCTCCCGCCAACTCCAGAATCCTGGGACCCTACCTTTTCCTCTAAATCCTTGATCCCCAGTGTCCGCCTGGGGTCTGCAGGCTCTGGGGCCCTGGGCTGTGCGTAGGGCCCACCGTAGGTCTTGGGCACCTGCGCCAAGCCGGAGGTCGTCTCCCATCTGCTGATGACCTCGTCGAAATCCCAGATGTGCAAAGCCTGCCTGGCGGCGGGGGACAGGGGCTCCAAGACTGTGGACTGAGGAGAAAGTGCCGCATACCACCTAGAAAGACTCAGGGGCCCCCTCCCTTCTCCCTCCAGCCCCTGGAGTCCAGGGCCCCTCTTCCCTCCAGCCCAGGACCCCAGGACCCTCCTCTTGCAGACAGTGGTCAAAACCCCAAGGCTCTTCTTTCTCGGTACCCATGTTTCTGGGCCCCCAGGCCCCTCCCTCAGCTCCGGGTCCCCTCACCCGTACAGTGGGTGGGGGAAAGGCCACAGGTGGGATAATGTGGTGAGCAGTGCCACTGCTGGTGAGATGCCAGTTGGGCCAGGATCCAGGCATATCCCTTCCTGAGGTGGGTGACCACGGGGGGCCAGAGCGCAGAGCTAGGGTCCGACAGGCCATGGTCCCACCCTCGCTGGTTGCCAACGCAGGAGCGGGCTTGTTGTTGCTGTTGCCCTGGTGACAGGTCCCGCCCGCCCTGGTCGCAGCCAATGATGAGCCGGCAGGCATCTGGATGGACCAAGCGGGAAAGAGACCTAGGAATATTGCAAGGAGGCCAGGGCCGCAGACAGAAATCTAGGGGAGGGCTGGAGACTTCGGGGAAAGCAGAAAGAGAAGCAGCGGAAAAAGAAATAGAAAAGTCAGAAAGTTTCAGGGAGGGGAGGGAAGGGGGCAGGGAGACGGACAGACTCAGAGGAGGACCAGGACAGAGACCCCACACACATGGGAATCCTTGAGAAACACCCGCTTTCCTACAGCCCCTGGCTGCTCCCCCTCTGCCAGGCCTGCCCACCTCGGGGTAACGATTTCCAGACATCGCGGAGCTCCCCCTCCCTCCGAGGGCTGCTGGAGCCGCCCGGGCGGCCACCGTGCTGCCTGCCTTTGATTTGGCTGAAGACTTCCACCTGGGCATGGAAGGAGGGCGCGTCCCGGGGAGAACGCACAGGGAAATGCTTAGCAAGAAGAGAGGCAGGCGCTGCTCACCCAGAGACACACGCAGGAAGTCAGAGGGAGACACAGGAAAGGGCAGAAAAGGAGATACAGAAACGGAGGCAGCAGACCCTACCCTCCCAGGGGCCCAGATTCCTGGGGGTGGCAGGAGAGGGGCTGTCGAGGGCCTTAGCTCAAAGCTGGACCTAAGAGAATGTGTGTGAGCCCGGTGAGGGGGCACACGCCTGTAATCCCAGCACTCTGGGAGGCTGAAGCAAGAGGATCAAAAATTTGTGCTTTAAGGGGCTGGGAATTTAGCTCAGCGGCAAAAGCGCTTGCCTGGCAAGCGCAAGGTCGTGAGTTCGGTTCCTGGTACCGGAGAAAAACACACACAAAAAAAAAAAAAAAAAAAAATTTGTGCTTTAAAAAACAAAAAAATTGAGCTTCGCTTGGAGTGAGTGATTTAGGAAGACTTTGTCTCAAAGTAAAAATTTTAAAAGGTTGGGGAGAGGCTGGTGATATAGACCACCCAGGCATCAAACCCCAGTATGGTTAAAAAAAAAAAAAAGAGAGAGTCAGGTTGGTGGCACATGCCTGTAATCCCAGTACTCAGGAGGCTGAGGCAGGAGGATCGTTGTGAGTTTGAGGCCAGCCTGGGCTACAAAGTGAGTTCAAGTCCAGCCTGAACTGCATAGCAAGACCCTGTCTCCAAAAGACAAAAAAAAAAAAAAAAAAGTGTGTGTTGGCAAGAGGTCTGGGGCACTGGAGGGTGTAAGGATTTCCCTTGTCACCTTTTGGCCTTCTGGTCAAGACCTCTGCACTTCAGCCTTCATTATTCCATCCCCCCCAGTCCAACCATTAGACAGGGGAAACTGAGGCCACGTTCTACAGCTCGGCTCAGGGTCCCCATGACCCCCTATTCCATTAAGCTTTCTGGGGTCCTTGGTTTGATTTTTGCGATACTACTCAAAGTCTTATCAGTGTCCAGTGATCCCTGATCCCAACCAGGGCCTAGAGCAGTTGGTCAGAACCTCATGTCTCATTCAAGCCAGGCAGTTTTAAGGTCAGTTTCCTTCCTAACGCGGTGTAAAGGTTACAACAGGGAAGGGAGGGGGGTAGAAACCTGACCCCAGCTTCTGAGCCAGGACAGGACTGTCCAGCATCCTGAACTCTTTCTTGCTGTTCGCCCTCCTCTGCTCCCCATGATGGTGAGCTCACCACCTCAGAAAGGAGGGCTGCAGCCCAAGCCAAGTGTTTGCACAGTCCAGTTCGTACCACACCCACCCACTTCCTGACCCCGGCTCCTCTCCAGGGTGCCAAGGCAGTGTGTGCTCTGGGATAGAGTGGTGTGCACCTTAAAGCTGAGGGCCTCTGATGCTCAATTCCTCAGTGCTGATCTGAGGAGTACTGTATCAGGGCTGATAAACAATAACCACACAGTACATATTGGCCATTGTTATTGTTATAATGCTCAGGATTACCCTCAAGCTACTCCAGAACTCCTACTCATCCTTTGAAACCCCATTTGGGGTTTCGTCACACATCCTGCATGGATTGAGCTTTCAAAATCAGAAAGCCGTGATTTTGTGATCATTTAAGTTCCCAAACCGAGGCCGTGAACAGCCAGGCCTCCCCTGAGGGCCCTCAGTGTCCAGTTCTCTTCTTTTCGAGGTCGGACCAGTTCGTGGGCAGGGGCCTCAGGCCCGGCCAGTCCGGCTGAGGAGTGTGCAGACACAGGCAGTGTCAATTCGAATCCATCGCCAGCCCACACGGCCCTGGGCGTCCGCAGTCAGGGCCCGCACGTAGGACTGCTTGGCTTTGCACTCTGACACCCAGTGCCTCCGGTCGACGCCGCGGCAGCCCCCTCCGCCGGCCCCAGGCCCGGCCTCCCCGGCACCGTCGGCTTTGCAGCGGGTCTCGAAGAAGTACTGGCGGAGGGGGCTGCCCCCCGCCCCGGGCACCTCGCCCAGCACCTCCACCTCGCGCCCACGCAAGTCCACCGCCGTTCTCCGGTCTGTCACCCAGCCGCTCACCGCGTCGCACACTGCCAGCTCACCCCGGCGACTCGGGGGCGCTGTCTCGCTCACCCCACGCCGACTGCGGTTAGCTGGGGCTCCCGCCGGCTCCCCAAAGGCCCCAGCCTCCAGCAGGAAGAGCAGAGGGGGCCCAGCAGGAGCGCCCCTGGACAGTGCTACCCGGGGGGACAGGAGATCCCACTCTGGGGCCGGAAATGGGGGCAGCGTGGAGGGTGGGGGGTGGCACCCCACAGGGGCACTGGGGAAGAGGGAGAGGAGGAGGATGGGGAGGGAGCAGCAAGAGTGGGGGCGCATCTCTGAGCACCTGTGAATGGAAGGCAGGACTGGGGTTAGAGCAGTGGGGAAAACCGGGAACAAGTCGGGGCCCCAGGGCAGCCTGCAAAAGCTGGAAGTGTGGGACCCTATATTCTAGGACTTGCGTGAGGCCCAACTTCCAGATTAATAATTACCCAATTACTATTACTTCAGGGCGGGGGATATAGCTCAGCAGCACAAGCACCTGCCTGGCAAAAGCAAGGTCCTGAGTTCGATCCCCGGTACAAAAAAAAAAAAAAAAAATTACTATTACTTCAAAAGGCAAATTGCAGGCTCAGAGAGGTGACTGACTTGTACCAGCTCACACAGCCAGCAAATGCAGAGGTGACAATTGAACTCTGAGCAGCCCACCTCTGCCCACTGGCCTCAACCACGTGGAGAAAACCCTCCTGAGTTCTGCAATTTATTTTATTTTATTTTGAGACAAGGTCTTGCTATGCAGTTCAAGCTAGCTTTGAGCTCACTTTGTAGCCCAGGCTGGTCTCAAACTTGCATCTTCCTGCCTCAGCCTCCCCAGTGCTGGGATTACAGGGGTGCACCACCACACCCAGCTTAGTTGATTTTTTTTTTTCCCGGCTTGGTTGATTTTTGAGACAGGGTCTCCCTATGTAATTCAAGCTGACCTTGAATTCACTATGTAGCCCAGGCTGGCCTTGAACTTGTGGCAATCCTGCCTCAGCTTCCCAAGTACTGGGATCACAGCCATGGGTCACACATCTGGCCTGAGTCCTGCAAATCTGGAACTCAGAATGTGGAATTCCAGGGAGACTCATGTTTGGCTCAAAGCTGCCACTAATAAAGCAAGATGCACCCCCTGTCTGCTGGGCCTCAGTGTCCCCGGCTGTGAAACCTGCATAGTTCGGGGAGAGCCTGGGGGGAGGGGTGGGTGTCGCCCTCCCTCTACATATTGGAAGCCCAGGAGGACTGGGAAGCAGCAGGTGGTTACCAGACCTGTCAGCGCCTCCTCCACCTCCGAGGGCCGGGGCTGGGGGCCCCCAGGCTCGGCGGGGCCCCTGTGGAGGACACGGGTGGCCCCCTCCTTCCTGACATCCCAGGAGAGGGAGGGGGCAGCCACCTGGGGGAAGAGGGGCACAGACAAGTTACACATGGGGGGAGGGCCCTGGACCCCGAACACCCCCTCCGCAGGCTCCCTTGAGAGCGCGGGCACCCGAGATTCCAGTCGAGGCCCCTCCTCGCGCAGGTGATGACTCCTGCTGGGATGGGAAGCAGATGGGGCAGACGGAGGAGGCTGGGAGGGATCGCAGCCCCCTGGAGCCATTCATCTCGCAGACGGGAGGGGCGGGGCTGGCCTGGACACCCGGTCCCCGAGGGCCCGCACTCGGGGAGCCCTGGGTCCCCGGGCCGCTTCCTGGAATGCTCGCTGCTCGCAGGACAGGCCGGGGCCCGCCCGAGACTTGGGCTGCGCATACCTGGGTAGCTGCGCGCCCTGGCTCGGAGAAGGGAAGAGGGGAGGGCGGGGTGTGCAGAGGCGCCGGGCGCCAGACCAGGGCAGGAGGGTGCTCCTCGGACTAGGTACTCTGGACCCCAGCTGTCTCCGCCTTCAGGCCCAGGAGTTCAGTCTCCCGCCCTGCCCCGGCAACCACCTCCCTGGGACTAGGAGTCCAGGACCCCGGCGCCCTCGTCCCGCAGACCCTGGATTCTGGAGCTCCGTCCCCTCCGCCCCGGGCACTCAGAAGTGTGGCCTCCCTGAGGCCCCTCCACAAGAGGATGCGGGCCGGGGTCCCGGGACCCTGGTCTCAGCTAGGGGAACAAGCTCCATCTCTGGGACACGTTCCTCCTGCCTCAGTTTCCTCCGCCAAGCTCCGCCCCCGCAGGCCCCGCCCCCGTCCCTCCCTACCCGGGGGCAGGGCGACCCGGCCGGGAATCCCGGGGGAGGCGGCGCGAGGCTCTCACCTGGGGCGCCCTCCGCTGCGCCCTGGCTGCCCGCGGCGCGGCTCCTCC